GAAAGAGAGAGCGAGAGAAGTCAACCCTCCAGAGGGGATGGCTACACCACAATCCCTTCTTCTCCTCCAAACTTCTCTTGGGAATTTGAGCTTGCATGCACACATGCCTAATGTTGTTTTTCTAGCTGCCAGATCTGGGACCCAACTACAAAGTCAGCCATGTGGGATCCCGCCACCTTAACTACCTTGCCACCAGCTGTCCCCGTATTTCTAAAAAGAAATGTTTACATTCATTTATTTTATTTTTTCCATGAGCAACCAAGAGAGAGGGAGAGGAGAGCACCCCCAGCGGGGCCCCGTTGCCAGGGTGCATCCCAGCCTTCAGCCGGCCTCCTTGGTGAACAGGTGTGTGCCTGGCAGACGAGGGAGGTCTCTGGACTTGCACTGGGGCTTCTCATGTGAGACCGCCTCGCAGAACATCGTGTTTTAGCACTGTACCACTATCTAGCCTTTTTGTTTATAGTTCTGGAAATGTATGTTTTTAAAAAAGAATTATTTAATTATATCCATTCATTCAGCATTTTCATTTGACCAAAGAAAGACAGACATAAAGAGAGAAGGAAAGTGAGAAAGCAAGCCACCAGGTCCAAGGCTCGAACCATGGTCGGCCATGTGGGAGTGTCCAGCGCCTTAACCACCACACCACCTGCTGACCCCTGAAATGTATTTTAATTCCATTTTCCCACAAACTTTTTGAAGTCCGCTAGTGTGGTACACATTGTGATAGCCCAAAGCCAGAATCGGCCCAAATTCCTTCCATAGTAAATGGTTAAACAAACTGGCATATCCATACTGAGGAAGACAACTCGGAATGAAATGGAACAAACTGCTGATGCCTGCAACAACCTGGATATTCATACGGTTTTCAAATGTATTGTCATGAATTTCCTCATAACGTCCTCTCAGCTTGTTAACGGCTATTCACAGGTCCCTTTCTTCAATCCTGTCGCCGTTCATCTCAGGCTTCTCTCTTTTACTTATTGTCAGTTTTTCAATATTAATAGCTTTTCCAAAAACCCAATGTATTTTTAATTTTTACTTAAGTGCATCTTAATGTGTATATTTGCAGTTCACAGCATGATGTTATGGAACACATAAAGATACAGAGAGAGGGGCTGGCCTCTTGGCCTTAAAAGTTGAGAGAACTGAGCCCACATCGTTGAATGCATGGTTCAAATCCTGCCCCTGGCAGCTTAAAAAATCACACCAGCGTATGTGTGCGTGTGTGTATAGGTAGGCATTCCTCAAAATCCAGACCTAGAGAAATGGAGAAGAGATTGTGGTATGACCATGACCCATTGTGGGGTGCTTTCTTCCTCTCTGTCTCTGTCTCTCACATTTTAAAAAGATACAGAAAGGTGTATAGCTCTGGATAAATAGTACGAAAATAGTAACAATGAGAGATGATAGGGCTTTTTTTTTTTTTCAGAGGTTTTGTTGTCTGACTCTCTAGAGCACATGCCCTATAGAAAAACTAAATAAACAAAACCTTATTAATTTTAAAAATAATTAGATTTGAAGTAGGTAACTCATTTATATGGTTTCACCAGTTCCTTGATAAAATCTTCCATAAGAACTCCAAAGTCTATGAATTTACCTATATATGTAAAATAAATTCTGAAGTAACAATAAATGATGTAGCTGGTACGATCCGTGAGGTTTCTTTGAGATTAATGTTTGAGGGCCAGCAGGTTGCGCAGTGGTTAGAGCCCTAGACTCTCATATAGTCGACCGCAGTTGGAGTCCTAGACTAGGTGGCTTGAAACTCACCCCCCCCCACCCCCGGGTCTGTGTGTGTGTGTGTGTGTGTGTGTGTGTGTGTGTGTGTGTGCCCAAAATCCCAAGAGGATTTTGGAGGAGAAGGGATTGCAGAGTGGCCATCCCCCCGGGGAGTGATTTCTTGCTTCCTGTCTCTCTCTGTCTCTGGCAATCACATGAACCCTATGGCAAAAATCTCTCTATAAAAACAAATCTGTACCAGTCCTATCTGATCCCAGAGATAGTCTGGTCTGAAAGACACCCAGTCAAGGGCACCAGAAGCAATACCAAAATGAGGTCTGAGAAACTGGAATCTGGAAGTGAGGGAGGAGGAAATAGCCACAAGCAGGCTGCAGGAGAATGGAGCCATTGCTGGAACTGGCGCTGTTCGAATCTCACTTTTATATCAGACCAGGCGGGACAAGGCTCTGTCTCATGGCAAAAATGGTAAAATACAAGGAATTCTCTTACCAGAACATGGCCGCAGACATTGCCAACCAATCCGTCTGTGTTCTTTCTAAATTCCCAAGTTGAAGAACCCCTTTCTCTGACAAGCAACGTAGATAAATCCCTCAGTTAAACACACCCCTTGAAGAGCGCTCCTGAAGGAAGTGCCAAGAGAGCCCCTCTGGTCTGGCAGCCCCATCTCAACAAAGTACCCTTTTAAGGAATTCTATTTCCATCCTCATGTGCTACTCTTACAAAACCTCTTGAAGCAAGGTTATCAGTAATTTTACTAATGGCAATTCAAACTGTCAGAAATCTCCGGAATTTTTCCCCTTGATCAGAAGCCTCAGGAGATGACATGATGAGTAGCTGCACTAGATGGCTCCGTCCTACAGTAGTGAACACCTGCAGCTGCTTCTGCAGGCTAGCTTCAGCAGAACAAGTGGCGCTGCTATTTAGCTCCTTTTTTTGTTGTTTGTTGTTCTTTTCCCAAAGAGTTAGGGAGAGACAGAGAAAGGGGAACTGAGAACTCACCCCCCGGGGAGATGGCACACTACAATCCTTTTTTTGTTTGTTTCCCATTCTCCTCAGAGTTTTGGGCATGTATGAACATGGGTGTAATTCTCAATCCACTGGGTCTGGGACTTGAACCACAGTCGACCACGTGGGAGTCCAGTTCCTTAACCATCACACCACTTGCTAGCCCCACTGTTTAGTTTTTGAACACACCATCCTTTTGAAGATCTGGCCCCCACAACAGAAACCAGGCAGGATGCAGGCTGCAACAGTGTTATAAAAAAGGTGTGGAAGAAAATATTTGAAAGAGATACAACTGATAATAGACAGTGCTGTGGTTTGCATGTCTCCTCCAAAATTCATTTCACACATGCCCACTAACCAGGGCTGGCTGAGGATGGGCGTAGATGGTGGCATCAAGACCCTGTTGGAGCCCTGGAGTGATTCCGTCCTGCACGGCTGTTTTCGGGAGCCGTAGTCATTTACCTCCGTCCGCCTTCTCACCCACCCAAGTGCATGCCACCACCCCATGGAAGATTTGATGGACATGGACATGAGCCCCCTGAGGCCCCAGAACTATCTTTTCAGTTGTGAACTAAAGGCTGACAAAGATTATCACTTTAAAGTGGGTAATGATGGAAATGAACACCAGTTATCTTTAAGAACGGTCAGTTTAGGGGCTGGTGCAAAGGATGAGTTGCACATTGTTGAAGCAGAGGCAATGAATGATGAAGGCAGTCCAATTAAAGTAACACTGGCAACACTGAGAATGTCTGTACAGCCAACGGTTTCCCTTGGGGGCTTTGAAATAGCACCACCTGTGGTCTTAAGGTTGAAGTGCGGATCAGGGCCTGTGCATATTAGTGGACAGCACTTAGTAGCTGTGGAGGAAGATGCAGAGTCAGAAGAAGAAGAGGAAGAGGACGTGAAACTCTTAAGTATATCTGGAAAGCGATCTGCCCCTGGAGGTGGAAGCAAGGTTCCACAGAAAAAAGTAAAACTTGCTGCTGACGAAGATGATGACGATGAAGATGATGACGATGAAGATGATGATGATGAAGATGATGACGATGAAGATGATGACGATGAAGATGATGATGATGAAGATGATGACGATGAAGATGATGACGATGAAGATGATGATGATGAAGATGATGACGATGAAGATGATGACGATGAAGATGATGATGATGATGAAGATGAAGATGATGATGATAATTTTGAAGATGAGGAAACAGAAGAAAAAGCTCCAGTGAAGAAATCTATATGAGATACTCCTGGCAAAAATGCTCAGAAGACTCAAAACCATCAACACCAAGATCAAAAGGTCAAGAATCATTCAAAAAACAGGAAAAAACACCTAAAACACCAAAGGGACCTAGTTCTGTAGAAGACATTAAAGCAAAAATGCAAGCAAGTATAGAAAAAGGTGGTTCTCTTCCCAAAGTGGAAACCAAGTCTATCAATTATGTCAAGAACTGCTTCCGGATGACTGATCAGGAGGCTATTCAAGATCTCTGGCAGTGGAGGAAGTCTCTTTAAGAAAATAGTTTAAACAGTTTGTTAAAATTGTCCGTCTTATTTCATTTCTGTAACAGTTGATATCTGGCTGTCCTTTTTATAATGCAGAGTGAGAATTTTCCCTACCGTGTTTGATAAATGTTGTCCAGGTTCTATTGCCAAGAATGTGCTGTCCAAAATGCCTGTTTAGTTTTTAAAGATGGAACTCCACCCTTTGCTTGGTTTTAAGTATGTATGGAATGTTATGATAGGACACAGTGGTGGTCAGACATGGAAATGGTGGGGAGACAAGAATATACACATGAAATAAATTCAGTATTTTAATTAAAAAAAAAAAAAAAGACCCTGTTGGAGGGCCAGCTCTGTGGACCAACAGTTAAGGAAGCCAGATACCACATGGTCAACTATGGTTCAAATCCTAGCACTTGAGGCTTGAAAAACACACTGGGATGCATGTGTGTGCATGCCCCAAATCCTGATAGGGTGGAGGTAAAAGGATTCTAGAGTGACCATGCCCCATTGGGAAGGTGCTTTCTCTCTCTCACTCTCTGGCAAGTGAACATGTCCTCTGGCATTAAAAAAGAATAAATAGGGGCCGGCAGGTGGCAAGGTGGTTAAGGTCGTTGGACTCCCACATGGCCGACCACAGTTCAAGTCCCGGACCTGGTGGCTTGCTTTCTCACTTTCTCTCTCCTCTGTCCCCCACCCTCTCTCTCACTTTGTCCCTCTGGTCAATTAAACTAAATAAAGAAATTTAATTATTTTTAAAAAGAATAAATAAATAAGTAAGACCTGTTAGGAGGGGACATACGAGAATTTTCTTTTCTTTTTTCAGTTTTTGGTTATAGACCATATGCACTTCCCAGAGAGAGGCAGTCAGAGACAGAAGAGAAAATGAGAATTCACCTCCTAGGAGGATGGCCACACCACAATCCCTTCTTCATTCTTTCCTCAGGATTTTGGGGCACACATGCACATGTGCCCAGTATCATTCTGTACTTCCACTCATTTTGCTGTGAGCCTAAAGCAGTCCTAAAAAAATAAAGTTAATTAGTTTGGAAAAAAAAAAAAAAAAAGTTTGGAAACCAATAGGACAGAACACAATGAGGGTCCAGAAGATGAGCGCGGCAGAAGAGGTGGAAGACTGAGCAGCAGACAAGGATGGGAAGATCAGCCGGTGCTGTGAGGTCCACACAGACGAGAGGGGCTGGATCTAGAGAGGCAGGCCGCACTCGAGGGGGAAGGGCTCTGTGGGCAGCCGCCAGGCTGTGACCCTGAGAACACGTTTGCCCAGTTCCACCTCTAGGATTGCAGGTGACCCCACAATGGCTTATCTGAGTGAGCGGGCCACAGCAGAGACTCCACTCTTCCTTCCTCACTTCTGTTTCATTTGTCAAAGTTCTGGCGGCAGATCTAGCCATGAGGAAACTAATGGTAGCTTCAGAGAAACGAAGGGACAGAAGAAACCACAGTGAAGAAGTCCCTGAATATGAAGTCAGCTTCCCTTAACTATTGGCACTTAAAGACTAAAGACTGTGGACAGAAGTCTGACTACTTTTCCTATTTTTCCAAAATCTTTTGAAAAGGGGACTGGGGAAGTCATGCCCACAAACATTAACAGACCATTTTCTATTTAACAGGATTCTTCCTACCTCCTGTTCCTGGCATAGTACCTTTGAGATGTAGATTAAGCCTTTTCTTTAACTAAGACACAGAACTTCTCTTTTCCTTGAGATGTAGATTAAGCCTTTCTTTAACTAAGACAC